TTTCTTGAGATATGGCTCACACCCTGTGGTCACTTATCACCAACACACAGACACTCATAGGTTCTAGGTTCTGTTTGGTTGCTAGGTTACAACTTTAGCTTTTTATCTACTTATCTACTTTACACAGTGTCACAGCAATGTTCAGTTTGGTTTCAGAGTTTACAGAGTTAATATTCATCTTTAATTTCTGATTTCTAAATTCCTAATAAATTCCTAATACATTCAGTACACCAGGTTACAAATAGTTGTTGTCTCCATTTTGAGACTAGAGGGTGACTGCACTTGGGTGGACACATTCAGCCCAGACAGATAAAGCTCACCCTCCAAAAGACTGCATTTCTATCAGTTTCCAAGCCTTGGCCTCTCAGGTCTCTCTGAGACACCTTTCCTTTGTAACCCACATATATAGCTGTTCTGTAACCACATCCCAACACATACACACATAGATGTACTTACTGTGTGATGTGTAACATGAGATCTGACTATTAATATTAGTAATTAAGTTGCATATAAAACAACCCTGTTTGCCTCAGCCAGTGCTTGACATCAAGGAAGCAGGACTGTCTGGAAAATTGCTGCCAATGAAGCCACTGTACCTTGTGAATTTATTGTTATTCAGCAAATTCTGATACTGTGGAAAGACACAAAAGTATTCACCCGTGTTTCAGGCATAGCACTTTCACAGTATACATAAAGCAAAAATGCCTATGGCATATGTTTCTTGTTAGAAAAGCATGTAATATTATAAAGTATTTGAAACATGAAGCTACATAGTGTGGGAAAAGTAAATACAAATTCTAGAGGAAATTCTTACAAAAGTTGTCTACTCTGCACAATTAAAAAATTAGTGTGTGTATGTGTGTGTGTGCCCACATGAGTACAGAAACAGGGTCTTAATCATGCACATTCTATGTTTAACAACATTATGATACATTGAATATATTTGCAATCTTTAGTTTAATTTTGGGTAGACAAACATGAGGTAATCTCTCCAGAAATAAGTGGAGTCCTGTCAATCAAACACAAAATTGGAAGAATCTGAATTTTTTATTTTTCAGTGTTAAGAATTGTTTATAGTAAGAAAGTGTTACACACTGAACTCCATTCTTGACCTGGGATTCTGAATCCTAGGCTGCCTAATTTTTATACTGTATCTTGTGTTTGAATGTCTCTTAATGGCTTTATTAATATACTGTGGGTTCTGGTATTTTTATGGTACCCCTGGGGATGAAACAGAGTGAAATGGGTTCCATATCATGCTCAGTTACCTACCTGGCTTTACAGTAGTTACACCTTGTCCAATACTCTCCACAACTCCAGCTCCCTCATGGCCCAGAATAGCAGGAAGTGGTACTTCGTTTCTTCCTTCCAGGATGTGGTTATCAGTACCACAGATCCCAGAGGATATAATCTGAAAAATAATTAAATAATTGGAGATAAAATGCCTGGTCACAGAAAGACAAACACCAAATATTCTCACTCATATGTGGATTTTAGCATTTGTGTACCTAACTTGAAGTACCTATAGAAGCCAGGAAACTAGAAAGAGGCCACTGAAGGGAGGGGGGAGAAAGGTCTTATGGGAGGGGAGATAACAGAACACAGGAGATATGAAGAGGGAATAATGGTGAGAAAGTTTTAAGTGGGGAGAGAGAAATAGGAGGATAGGGCAGAGGAGGGGTGGGGGAAGTGTTAGTAACACTAAGGATATTTGAAAGAGCCATATGGAAACCAATTTTATAAGCTTCCTAAATATGTATGTTATGCTCCTCCAAGAAAGCATAGATTGCCAAATGAAAATCCCAGTACCAGGTATGGTATACTTCCCCTTGAGTTGTTGGTCAGGAGTAGATACTCCTAAAATGATTCGGGCTATTGTCATTGCACTTGGTTGTCCACCAGAACTTGATGGTAAGACCCTATTGCTGAAGTTGGAAAGCTTCTTCCCTGCTGGCCAGTTTTCATAGTACTGGAAGGTGCTATGTGGGCTACTGGGAGAGAAAAGTCATCAATGGTCTTACCAAGATGAAACCCTGAGAGCTAAATAATGACCTGCGTACCAAGACATGCCCCTTTGGTGCAACAGTGGCATGAGTGTTACGGGGGTAACCAACTGCCTTAGGATTGGTTTTAAGGCCTGTTCCATAGGAGGACATGAATGCCTAATATAGTAAATCTGACCAAGAACCCATGGCTGGGGAGCTCATAAGCCTCAAGGATGAATCTCCTCTTATTTTACCAAATAAACATAGTGTCAGTCTGCCCTCTAAAGACATACATATTTACCTATAGATCAGTGCAGCTCTCAGATCTCATCAGAGAAGCTTCTATGTGCAGTGGTTAATGGAGAAACTCACAACTGCTAAAAACACAGAGAACAAGTGTTTGTGGAGTACTCAGCCTAAATGTATATGCTCCTCCTGAGGCTCAGGGACCATCTTGGAAGGGAGGATGGAAAGACTGTAAGAGCCAGAAATTGGTGAAGACCAGAGTGAAACAGCATCTCCTGGACATAACAGGGCTGCCACACTATGAACTCACAGCAGCTGTGGTTGTCTGCACAAGATCAAGCCACTGAACATTGCAGCATGGAGTGGTGAGGGGTTCACAAGCCCCCACCCCTAGCAGAGGAACTATGGACAGCTGATGGTTGCTAGGTGAGGGGTGTGGTCCTGGTAGGTCAAACCATGCTCCATTGAATGGCATCACATGGGGGAATTACTTTTCTGGAAGTGCTTCCTGTCTTACATAATCTTGTAACCAAAGTTAATCTTATGTTTTGAGATCTTTTAACACTATCTATTCCATCTGCTTTTCTACAGTGTAACCAGCTTATTTAAATCTAGTTAGCTTTTAGTAAAACAATGCAATCTTACTAGGCCTTACCAGGTTCCTCTTGTAATCAACTTTTACCAGTTAAGCTAAACACATAGTTTTCTTAAACTATGCTTCCTATTTCTTTCTCTGACCCTTCCTTGCCCGTCTCAGACTACTGAATGAGTGTGTGTGTGTGTGTGTGTGTGTGTGTGTGTGTGTGTATGCATGTGTGTTGTGAAAATATCACTGGAAGCAGTGGCTATTAGAATCAATGAATTATCCATAGTTTATGTTGCAAACAATAGATGGGAATAGGTTGATGTGGTGGTTTGAATGAGAATGTCCCCCATGGGCTCCAAGTATTCTGACATTTTTGTCTCCAGTTGGTGGCACTGTTTTGGGAGGCCTTAGAAGGTGTGGCCTTGCTGGAGGAAGCACATCACTGGGGTGGGCTTAGAGAGTTCTTAAGCCTTGTTGGATATCCTGCTGCTCTCTTCTTCCTGTGCTTGCTTCAAGATGTGAGAACTAAATTTTCTACTCCAGCTACCTCTGCCATTATGCCTCCCCATCCTGAAGGACTCTTATTCCTCATAGAACTGTAAGCTCAAATAGACTCTTCCTTCTATAAGTTCTCCTGGTCACAGTGTTTTATCACAGCAACAGAAAAATAACTAATGGATATCCTGCTGCTCTCTTCTTCCTGTGCTTGCTTCAAGATGTGAGAACTAAATTTTCTACTCCAGCTACCTCTGCCATTATGCCTCCCCATCCTGAAGGACTCTTATTCCTCATAGAACTGTAAGCTCAAATAGACTCTTCCTTCTATAAGTTCTCTTGGTCACAGTGTTTTATCACAGCAACAGAAAAATAACTATTAGAGAAATTGGTACCAGAGAGTGGGCTGTTGACTGTGAAGAACCTGACCATATGGGGTTTTGGAGGAATGTGGAAGACTTTGGAAGTTTGGGCTAGAAAAGTGGTTGATTGCTGTAAGCAGAGCTTAACAGGCCTTTCTAGTAAACACCTGGAAGAAAGAAATGCTGAGAACACTGTAGTTCCAGAGGGAAATAAGGACTTAAGTAGCAACTGGGATATTTTGGTCAAGAGTCTGGCTGGAGTTGGCCCACAGTCAAAAAGTTTGCCGGAGACTAAGTTGAAAAGAAATGGATTAATCTATTTGGTGGAGGATATTTCAAGACAGCCTAACATAGAAATGGTGGCATGACTTTTAATGGTGAATATTGTGCAGATCTACAGTGAAAAAGAGCAAATGGGGCAGAAACAAATGCAGAATATACAGTTTGGATTGAAAAAGAGCACTAGGAGGATTAATATTGGAGCCAAGGCATGTGTTGAAGGAGTGGATCCCTGTGATAAGGGGATTAAAGTGATTAAGAAGAGTCCTAGAGATTTGCATTTAAACAATGGAAAAACTGCCTCCAGGGTAAGATCATGCCCAACTAAGTCTAAAACTTCTGAAAGGAAAATGCTGGAGGGGTGTGTACTAGAAAACCGCTGTAGAGAAAAGCTAAGAATGTGGTTGAAGCAGGCTAGGGTCCACTCCAAACTTGCAGCAGACTTGGCAGTATGGTTCACCTGGTTCTGGCTTTAGAGGCATGAAAGTTGCAAGAGTGAAGGGGTCATCAATTCTTCCTCCAAGTTTTCAGAGATCCACGAAGGCCAGGCAGCATGTAGCAAGGGTGTCTCTGCATAAAGAAAACCCTGATAGGCCATTGTGTGAAGCCGTGAAGGTGAAACCTGGTTGGCAATGGAGACCCCAAGAAGATGTTCAGGATGCCAGAGCTGTGAGACATATGACAAGGAGAGCTGCATACATGGAGCCCAAGAGAGAGATATATGCTGCATGCAGCAAAGCTGGAGGGCTGAGCCTTATAAACCATTTGGAAGTAAAGTCCTAGAAGCTGCCACATGGAGCTGCTGAATTTGATGTTTGCCTTGATGGTTTTTGGTCTGGTTTTGATCTGGTATTTCTTTACTATTCCCCTATTCCTCCTTTTTGGAATAGGAATGTGTATTCAGTTCCACTGTATGTTGGAAGCATGTAACTTGTCTTCTGATTTTACATTGGCTTACAGTTACAAGATTGCCTTGAGTCTCAGAAGACTTTGGACTATGGACTTTTAAATGGTATTGAGATTGGTAAAGACTACGGGTCTTTTAAAGTTGGACTAAATGCATTTTGTGTTTTATATGGTCATGAGCCTATTCCAGGAAGTGGAATGTAGTGATTTGGATGAAAATGTCCCCCATAGGCTCCAAGAATTCAAACATTTTGTTCCCAGTTGGTGGCACTGTTTTGGGAGGTCTTAGAAGCTGTGGCCATGCTGGAGGAAGCATTTCCCTGGGGGTGGGCTTAGAGAGTTCTTAAGCCTTCCTAGATCTCTAGTCACTCTCTGCTTCCTGTGTGATAGGTAAAGTAGGTGATGGATGAATCTGGTTGATCAGGAGAAAGCATCAGGACATGTAGGAGGAAGTGCAGCCTGAACAACCAGTGTGTGCGCTGCAAACGTGCCAGAAACATCCAGCTGAGGCAAACCTGTGTTCTGCCAAAAGACATAGAGAGCCAATGAGGAACAGATATCACCTATCAATGGACCAATGGGACACTGGGAGGGGGGATATAAGGGAGCCCCATATCCACAATAAATGAGTCTGCAGCTGCTTGCACTGCCTGCTTCTCACCTGACTCCTGGAGTCTGCATCGTGACTCTGTGCCATAAGGGAGCCCCATATCTGTAATAAACGAGTCTGCAGCTGCTCACACTGCCTGCTTCTCACCTGATTCCCAGAGTCTGTGTCATAACTCCAGGCTGACTCTACTCCTGCATAGAGGGCCCATGGACACTCGCAACATCTGGCTCCCAACGTGGGTTCCCCATGCTGGCATGAGCATTGACCTTCTTCGGTTCTGGCCATCCTTGTGGTAACCGCTTTTATCTTCTGGACTGTGTTCTTTGCACTTTCTGCCAGCCATGCATCGACCGGTCTGGAGATCAGCCTTAGTTTCACTTTCTCCACCCACGACCACCTGGGCACCTCTCCCCCACTTTCTTCGGTGTTGTGAGATGCCCCTTGCCTGAAGTTTCAGTAAGTCAGCCCCTACTTGTGACATGTGCCTTCGGTTCTCCCATGGTTGAGTGTGAGCACCCCCAGCTTCCCTTTTCCCTCATCCTGTCTGTCTATTAGGGAGGTACACATTTTGATTTCAGTTTGCTTGGCACCTCCACATAAAGGCTGACCCCCTAGGAGGTGGAACCCAGGAGTGGCCCCCGACCATTGCTCCCCGTCCAGAGACACCATGTGGGCATACAGCTGTGGCCTAATGACCCATGGAAGTCCCTCACTAAACACAAGACATTTTGATCCTGAACACTACACTGTCTAACTGCTTCTACTCTGAGTGGCTACCTGTTCTTCTGTGCCTTTTCCTTGCATTACTTGTTGTCTTCTTAGCCTTCTACTTTTGCAGAGAGCCTCCTTTCAATCTCAATTTCATGGCAAATTTCACTGCGAGACCCTCTCAGTAGACTTAGGACATCTTCCTTTCTCATTTCCCATCATGGGCATGTTCCC